TTTTGTTTGTAGGCCCTAGGCACGGTGCCTAAAGTGCCTAAGCCTTAATCGAGCCTTGGTAAGTCACTGGTCAATGCTCATTGCCAAAGATATCATATATGATTTGATTTCTATTATCATTCATTTCATTGATCAGTCTCATTCAAAAATTGTTTGGCAATGTCACTCGCAAGATGGCGACACCAAAGAAAAATTTATTATATTCAGCTTTATTCACAACCAATGTTGTAGAGAATTTATTGAATATTGCTTTTAGTATTGGTTAAAAATCAATACCAATATCAAAAATAATTATTGGCAATACCAATACCAATATCAAATTTCAAGAAGTATTGCAATATCGTCCCAATACTTAAAAAAGTATTGGCAACACCACCAATACCAATACAATATTGCAATATTAACAACACTGGCTAACTTAACTAAATTGCGCTCAACAATGTTTAGAATAGCTTAAATTATTAGCTGACTCTGCGGTCGCTCCCTTTCCTGGCGTAATTCAGCCGGTACATTAATTTCGCGGTGAGCGTAGCCGCCTATACTATAGATCAGGGGACTGGAACCTATGGCTCGCGAGCCAGGCGGCTCTATTAATGGCTGCATCTGGCTCGCAGACAAATGTTCGATTATTAAAAAAAATGTTTTAGACTCCTTTGATTAGCAACAGCGTAACAATGTTATTAAAAAGTATTCGGAGAAATAATTATTGCATTTTTATTGTTGGAATTACACAAAATGCTCATATTTACTTTAATTTTTAGTTTTAAACACAATGTATGGCTCTCACAGAATTACTTTTCAAAATATGTGGTGTCCATGGCTCTCTCAGACAAAAAAGTTCCCGACCCCTGCTTTAGTGTTATAGATTTAGCACTAAACCAAACCCGGACCATAAATCTATCACCATACCTAACCTGAACCCTAAATCTATCCCTAAACTTAACATGCACCTTAAAACTATCCCTGAACCTAACCCCAACCCTAAAACTGAACCTAGCCTTATTTAGCCTATTTTCAAAATATGTGGTGTCCATGGCTCTCTCAGACAAAAAAGTTCCCGACCCCTGCTTTAGTGTTATAGATTTAGCACTAAACCAAACCCGGACCATAAATCTATCACCATACCTAACCTGAACCCTAAATCTATCCCTAAACTTAACATGCACCTTAAAACTATCCCTGAACCTAACCCCAACCCTAAAACTGAACCTAGCCTTATTTAGCCTAAATTTAAGTCTAAACCCCAAGTTCAAAAAAATCAAAATGAAGAAAAATGAAAAATAATTGTAAAATAATGAAAACCCAACTTATGTAGGCCTATAGTTTCATTTTTGCACACTATTTGACACTATTCCTATTTCAGGTTCCACCGAAAAGAATATCAAGAAAATGAATAAAATCCAATGCCGTCAATGCAAAATACATTTTCAAATATGGCGGGAAAATTATTATAATTACCCAACCAATGACATTTTAAATTTATAATTAACCCACCAAAAAAATAATTCAAATCATTCCAACGTAACATTAAGGAAAATTTAAACAACAAGGGGAGTGAATCCAAAAAAAAAAAAAAAAACAAAGAAAAAAAATAATAAAAACACGAAATTACGTCATAGCACTAATAGCATGAAAAGACCGGAAGGCATTTCCTAGAAAACCGTTTGTCCCAGATTTTTAGTGAATTGATTGCGAGGAAGAAACCCTATTAGAGGGCGTCCGTTGCTTCCCTGGGATGGGAGTTGGGAGGGGGAAGATTATGGGACATATATGTACGACCCCGACCCCTACAGGTGAGTTGGTCCGTGGCACTGTATACACAGTGTCCGGTCGACCGGATGACCCTGGGCTGGGTCGGCCCCCATTAGTAAACCCGACAGAGTAGGGTGTTTTTTTTTTGTTTTTTTTTTTTTGGGGGGTCAGGGTTGTTAACAATACTAAAAAAAATTATTGGCAATACCAATACTGCCTGTAAAATCTATTGGCAATACCAATACCAATACAATTTTAAAACCAGTATTGCAATACCAATACCAATATTTATTTATTATTGCCTTACCAATACCAATATTTGGGTCATTTGACGAATAAAACGCAAATACGTAATTCATCGCTCTATATCACTTACATCGATAAACGATAACAACATTTTTGGCTAATTTAGATAATGTATTTTTAACCAAGTTTTGTTCAATACTTGCTTCATCAGTTTTCCTCAAATCATTCAAAAGTCTTTCACAACATATTAAATAAGTCGGCATACCTTAACGTCCTTAAGCAATAAGATTTTTAATATGTATACTGTACACATATTGTGAATGAATGAATGGATGGATGAATGAATGAAAAAAAATATTTTTTCTTTGTTTGGCCTTATTTTTGTTTGTAGGCCCTAGGCACGGTGCCTAAAGTGCCTAAGCCTTAATCGAGCCTTGGTAAGTCACTGGTCAATGCTCATTGCCAAAGATATCATATATGATTTGATTTCTATTATCATTCATTTCATTGATCAGTCTCATTCAAAAATTGTTTGGCAATGTCACTCGCAAGATGGCGACACCAAAGAAAAATTTATTATATTCAGCTTTATTCACAACCAATGTTGTAGAGAATTTATTGAATATTGCTTTTAGTATTGGTTAAAAATCAATACCAATATCAAAAATAATTATTGGCAATACCAATA